AATTGTCAGTTTTCCTAGGAAGGTGAGATTTCTTTTATTCTGAGTACATGCCCTGTCTTCAGATAAAGAGACTAAGGTGGTTAGGAACTTGCCCAAGGCCATAGGACTGGCACTCAAGGCTGAGATTCAAACTCAGAAAGTCTGGATTCCTCCATCCACCCCGTACCCAGGATGCTCTAGTGCCTCTCACATGCCTGGGACCCTTACTGACCTCTCCACTTCCATACACATGGCCCACGTTGCTCATCAATCCACCACTCTTTCTCTCTGAGTCTAGATGAAGCCTCAGAATCCTTCTTAACACCATATTATTGACAGAAGCCACCAGTGGAGTCGGCCCACAAGTAGTGACCTCTTTGCTGGCTCTGGTTTAAGCAGTGTCATAAAAAGTATATGATACATCCCAGCTAAGTGATCTTCAGTGCCTTTCTTCAATGATGTAAAAATAAATCCCCCCAATTCTTAAACTGGTGCTCAGAGAAAAGAACATGGGGCTGTAAGCAGAGCACAGACTCGGTCTCAGACAGACCTAGCTTGACTCCTAACTTAGCCATTTTGGAGCTGTGTGGCCCCTGTAAATCACCATCTCTGAACTCCAGATGTGGCATGTGTATAACAGCCTCGTAGAGCTGTTGCAGAGGCGAGACGAGGTGATGTGGCCTGGCACTCTGCCTGCTCCACTGTGGCTTGCCTCTCTTGTCTTGTTGCTCCAGTGGTATTTTGTAGTCCATGCTCCTGCCGACTGAACTTGTCACTTTTCTCCCATGGCTCGGCATCAGCTCCTGCTCTTGTGTCCGTCTGGAGGGTCCTTCTCTCCTTCCTGGCATCTCATTCACCTGCCCCTCCTGCATTTCACCTGCTTGGAGCCTGGACCACCCAGGCACTTCATGCATGAACTCACTGACTTGCACCCCAACACATGAGCTCTGCACACCCTTGAACCTCAGCCTCTGCTCCTGTGAACTGTGGGTGCTGGTGACACACTTCAGGGAGTCCTTCTAAGGAGAAGCTAGTTCGTTCACGAAAAGCACCACAGCCTGGCCCGTGGGAAGTGCTCCCAAGTCCATGGCTATTTTGTTGTGATTATCTTTATTTCTTATGTTTGTGTTTGGTAAAAAACACATAAGATCTGCCCTCTTAACAAGCTTTTAAGTGTACAGTACTGTTAACTGTTGTACAGCAGATCTGTAGAACTTTTTCATCCTGCATGACTGAAACTCTATCCCCATTGAATAGCAACTCCATTGCCCCCCGCCTCCCAGCCGCTGCCAACTATGTTTACTCTTGTGACTGTATATTATTGTATGTATGCCCTCGCCTTACCTCTGCCTACTAGATTCTACATGCCCTGAGAGTAATATCCAAACTGTGTTTGTCTGTAACTTACCGCAATCTCAAGGGATATGACATTGGTTTTCAACTTAGTGGCATGTAACTTTTTTCCCAAAGAATAAGTATAGAACTACAGAATCAAATGACCCATCCGACCCCAGCTCACTGATGCTCTGACAATATGAATGTCATTTTCATCATCATCACCGTTTGCTGTTTTAAAGGAGACACAGGTCCGAGAGGGATGGGTGGCTTCCTACTTATTAACTGGGTGACCCTAAACGAGTCACTTCATCTCTGCCGGTCTCAGTTTTCTCTTCTGTCCGCAACAGGAAATATTGTACTTTCCATCTGTCTCAGGACACCATTTGGGGATCAACTGGTTGATGTCCTGCAGACATTTTGAGGGTGATAAAATCACTGCCAGGTCTGATTATAATGACCTTCACCGGTATTATCATTTTAATTAGCAATTTAATCTTTATCACCTTATCTTTATGATCTAACTTTTATCATTATACACAAATAAAGTAAAAATGTTGAGGATTTTTAAAACAAAAATCCTAGGGATTCCACAGGCTCAGTGCTAATTTCTCCTCTTTTCTTTACGTCTTTTTGAGGTCTCAGTACATTGAGAGATGAAGCACATTATAGCGTATTAGGGATAAAATATCACCCCTGATACAGGTACAGACAGAGTCAGAGGACAAGTGTAGGTGAGATCAGGTGGGCTGGCTGACTGACCAGCAGAGTTGGACAGGCTTTGTCACCCACTGGGCATGTTGGGATGGCTCCCCCATCCTGACAAAAAAGCAAGCCGAGTCTTGCTTTCTGCCAGTAGCCCACTCCCACGAGTAAGATAGGCTGACTGGCAATGCGTACCCAAACTTTTCATCGGATGGCGTGCATTGCTCAGTGAGAAAGGGGCAGGGAGAGGCCAGCCCTGTTTCAGGTGGGGCACCCATGCTCAGGGTGGTGGGTATGTTCTTCCCTTGCCGATCTACATCGTTTTGTTCTCCAAACCCACTGGGCTTCTGGTTAATCTGAGGATTGCCAGGGGTGTGACTAGTGCCCTGGGGAAGGAGAACAGCTGTTGGTCGGGACTCAGGACAGCCCTGCTCCCCCAAACCCCCATTCCTTGCCCCTGTGTGTGTCCTTCTGGGACTGCTGGTTGGTGGAAGAAATTTTTTTCCAGCCCCATGAAGGTTTTGGAAATGATTCGAGTGTTACATTATTGAAATAAACTCAAAGGATACTCCAGACCCAAGGCGGGAAATTCTCCCTAATTCTAAAACCCATTCAGATCACATCCTGCTACGCTATTAAACAAAGTATGTCAGGGGTTTTGCAGTATGATTCAAGGACAACCCTGAGTTCATTCGCATCAAGATCCTCCAACAATGACCTGCCAGCACCTCCCTTTTGCAAATTCTCCCGGAGAAATGAAAAGTTCAGGAATGAATCCCTGACAGATAGAAATCCAAATATATTCAAGTCCAAAAGGAATTAAAATCTGAGATCAAAATTTTTGCCCTTGTAAGTTTTGAAGTCCACAGTCAAAATTCTTAAATTAAGGTTCCCCAGACCATCTTCCCATTGTTTTATTCTGTCCAGACTCCCCCTGATGGTTGTTGCTGCTGGGAGGAGTTGGGGTTCCTTCAGCAGAAGAAAGGGTGCAGCTCCTTGACTCAGAAGCTGAAATTCATTGAACCCCAATTTTTTCATATGCTTCACTTTTAAAAATTTCCATGGAGGTAAGGGACATGAGAGTATCATATAAACAAAATGTGGTCTATCCATACCGTGGGATATTACTCAGCAATAGAAAGGAATGAAGTATTGGTACACACTACGACATGTATGAACCTCAAAAAAAAGAGGTTTGCTCGGGGAAAGAAACCAGACACAAAGAACACAGCTTGTATGATTTCATTTCTATGAGATGTCCAAAAAGGCCAATTAGTCCCCAAAAAGTAGATCAGTGGTTGCCTAGGGCTGGGGGTGGCTATGGAGAGTAACTGCCGTTGGGCACCAGGCTACTTTTTAGGGTGATAAGGATGTTCTGAAATTAGACTGTGGTGATGGCTGTACAACTCTGTAAGTATACAAAGTTCTCTAAATCTCACGCTTAGAACAGGTGAATTGGTGATGTATAAATTTTATCTCAAAGGTGTTTTTTTTTTTTTTAAAAGTATCACAATCTCGGACTTCCCTGGTGGCGCAGTGGTTGAGAGTCCGCCTGCTGATGCGGGGGACACGGGTTTGTGCCCCGGTCTGGGAGGACCCCACATGCCGCGGAGCTGCTGGGCCCGTGAGCCATGGCTGCTGAACCTGCGCGTCCGGAGCCTGTGCTCCACAACGGGAGAGGCCACAGCAGTGAGAGGGCCATGTACCGCAAAAAAAAAAAAAGTATCACAATCTCATTTCCACATCCACCCTATTCAGACAACCAGCTGCCAGTCTCAGCCTCTGGACAGACACGGCCACGTCCCCAAAGCAGCACTCAGCATCCTCCCCAGGCCATGGCTAAGGCTTAGAGGCATCCATCAGAAAGAGCAAGGACAGAGATGTTGCTTTAGTTCACAGGTGCCTTCGGTTTCTGCTGGATATCTGGAGCCCACCTGAGAACGTCAGCTCAGTGGGAGAACTCCGCCTTTAGTAGTTACGGTGGGCACAGTCTATTTCCAACATCAGACAGAAGGGTCCCCAGGGCACGCCGGCTCTACCTCCAGAAGGTGGGGCTGAGACATCCCTGCCTCCTACAAAACTGGAAACCTGCAGTGGTGGCCACCCTGTCACCCGCTTTCTTTTGGGGTCCCTCTTTTTCCACCCATGGCTCCAGAGCCTGCTTGTTCACCTGGGGGTGTGACTGAGTGTGGCCCCTCCCAAGAGCGGAGCCGTCTTCTTCTAACCAGTCCTGGCTTCTGACTAAGGGGAGCTTTGAGTCAGAAACCCCGTCTCCTAGGAAGCTTCTCTGTTTGTGTCATTAAGCCATCGAAGGCCAGCCAGAGACCATGAGGTTGGAGGAGACCCTATGTGAGCCTGAGTGACCTTCTCCACTGCCCCCTCCCGGGCCCAGTCTGGCACTGCTTCCCTGTGCCGTGTGCTGGGCTTTCAGAACCAGCTGGAGGTGTCAAAGTGGCAGCTAGTGTCACCCAAAAGTCCTATAAAAACTCTGTCCCATCATTGTGTGAATGGGATCATTGGGAACAAATAGGTCCCCACCTGGATTCAGAACAAAACAAAAAGGTTCTGGATTTCCTAAGTGTATGACATCCTGAATTAGGAGGACTGGCCTGCCCAGCCCCAGGATGGAGTGGAACCCAGGTAAAGCTCCTTGTAAGGATGCTGACAGCCCTTCCAAGTGAAAAAAGAGGGGGTCCAAGAGCACACCTGCCCAGTTTCTTCTCCCTGATAAAAAGTATGTGAGATCAAAGGGGCTCTTGCTGCCGCTGTCAGCTGTGATGCCAGCCGCCTCTGGATGCTTGGCTGTGTCTGGGGTGTGGCAGGGGCCCCGTTCTTGACCCACATGTGCCTTCTCTCTGAGTAGTTGGAGACTCCTTCTCCGTCAGCTACACAGCATCACTCGAGGCCAGAGACGTTGGGAGTGGAGAGGTCCTGATGCTTCCTGCCCAGCTCTCCTTCCAGAGTTCATCACCGGTATTGTCTTTGTTACTTTGATTTCTTTCTTGTCACTGTTGTTTTAGAAACCCTGGACACAACGTCTGTTAGTTCATTCTTTTCTTTGTTCCATCCTTCATTTGTTCAGTGATACCCAATTCTGGATGAATGCGCAGGCCCTGGAATCTCACACACTTCACCATGAATCAGGCTCCCTCGAAGCTCCTTGTGACCTTAATTACTTTAACTTCTGTGGACCTGATTATCAAGATATGTAAATGATAGATGTTAATTTCTCATCGCTGTGTCTTGGGCGTAGTAAGCACTCAACCAAATATCTCCCATTTGTACTGGTTTGCTAGAGCTGCTGTGAAAAAGTACCACAGACCAGATGGCTCAAAAACAACAGAAATTTGTTTGTTCACAGTCCTGGAGGCTGGAAGTCCAGAAGCTGGAAGGTGTGGGCAGGGTTGGTTCCTTTTGAGGCCTCTGTCCTTGGCTTGTAGATGGCTGTCTTCTCCCTGTGTCCTCACATGGTCGTGCCTCTCTGTGTTTCTGTGTCCTAGTGTCCTCTTCTTTGAAGGACACTTTTCAGGTGAGATCAGAGTTTACCTTGGTGGTCTCATTTTACTTTAATCACGTCTGTAAAGGTTGTCTCCAAATACAGACACATTCTGAAATACTGGGGATTAGGGCTTCAACGTATGGATTTTGGGGGGACGTGATTTAACCTGTAACCCCATTACTATTAGCACTTTCATTTTCCATTCACTTTTTTGTTAATCCACGTAGGCAGTGAATGTGCTTGGTTGCATGACCCTTGGTACATGCTGTACACTTCTGGGAATACAGAGGAGGAGATCTGTGCTCCGCTCGAGGCCGGAGATATTGGGAGTGGAGAGGTTCCGATGCTTCCTGCCCAGCTCTCCTTCCAGAGTTCATCACCGGTATTGTCTGTGTTGTCAAGACAGTATTATCAAGATCTCTGGCCTCAAGATCAAGGAGCTCGTGCTCTAGTTATTCTGGTCATTTTGTTCTGATTTCAGTCCCCGGAGAAAGTACCTTTTATAATAGACTTAGAAAATGAGGCTCCAAGGGTGACTGCCCCAGGTCACGTGGCAGAATCAATATCGGACCCCACAGCTGCCGGATCCTTCCATCCAAGGCTGGGGAGCCTGTGTGCAGTGCTTCTGCTGCAATAAGAAAAATAGTCCTGGATAAAATTAAATAAAATGAAAGATTCCCAAAAGGTAAAGACCAGATATGAGAAAACTGTATAAAACTGTCAGAAAAGACAGATGTCTCCGAACACAATTAAGTGCAAAGTCAAGAACAGAGGACAAAGGATACAAAAATGGAGATAAAATGGCCCAGAAGAAATACCACCCGAATTTCAAAGGAGAGGAAACCAAATATGTTAAAATCAAAATTTAAGATAAGGCAACAGTCAGAAACCAACAGTGAGAAACTCAGAAACCCAGTGAAATTGGAAGCCTCCACCTCCTCGTGTAGGGAGGGGACGTTAGGCCAGGGCGGCTTCACCTCCCAGAAGAGCCTGGGGAGGCTGGTGGGGCAGCAGGAGGCATGAGGTCCGGGGCCTCTCACCCCAGGGCGACCTCCTTGGCTGTCACCCCCTGACGGGTCCTGTCCATTGCTTTGCTTGGTGCCTGTCTGTGTCATGTTAATCCCATCCCCCCGGTAAACCCCCATCCGCCACTAGGATGTCACTCAATGAGACCAGGGACCCCATTGGCCCTATTCCCAGGTGTGTTCTCAGTGCCAAAAATAGAGCCCCACCCACACTAGTTGCTCAGTAAATATTTGTTGAGTGAACGAATGAATAGATCAGTGAACTAATGGTTCTTGGGCAGGTGTGATTGTTTTCTTTTTTAACTTCTCTGAGCCTCTAGTTTCTCATCAGTAAAAGGGAGATTGTTCTATAGTCTCCAGTCTCTTGTGGGGATAAAAGAGGTAATTTTATATTTGCACGTGGCCTGCAGTTTCTTTCCGTCCCCTTCCAAGCCTTCAGGTGCTCTCTGGGCAGTTCTGTAGACAGAGCGGAGAGTCCCCCTGCCCACCTGGAGATTCCATGTGTTGTAGGTTCCTGCCTGCGTTAGACTGTCAGCATCACCCTTCCTGGCCCTGCCTTAGAAAAGGCCCGTGGAAGGCCGGCATTTGCTGAGTGGATGAGTGTTGATAATGGTGAGTGGCTCCTATGCCTCGTTCTCCAATTGGTTCACCCATTTGGACTTCACAGTTTCTTTGGGTGACTCCTAGGCCTTCCTGCGGGATGGCAAGAAGGTCCAGTGTATTTGGGGCTGAACATGATCAAAGTTTGAGTGAGACTCACGACAACTCCCCAAGAGAACATTGGCCTACTCTGTCAGCCATAAAGAGGCTGACACTACAAATGGGAGGATAAAGGAGTTATTTAAAAATGCAGGTGCCCAACTTGAAATCCTTCAAGTTAGTGTGGGGCTGGTGTCTGGTATTTCAGAGGTGGGAACGCTGTCCTCGCTGTGTTTTCAGAACAGTTCGGTGTCTCTGAGTTTCAGTTTTCCTACCTGAGAAATGAGACGGGTAGGAAGACTTCCCGCAATCTCTTCTAGTTCTGACATTTTCACATGGTATGAGATCAGTGGTTCTCATAGTTACCACTTACTAATCCTCACAGCATGAGGTAGGTACTGTCAGAAATGCATTATGTTTAGATCTGGAAACTACTTTCTCAAACACACACACACAGATGTGCACACATAACGCACATGGATACATACACATGCACACACATGCACATGGATATGCACACATACACATGGATACACACATGTGCATGTGGGTGTACACACATGCACACGTGCACATGGAAATGCACACATACATGCACGTGGACACACATGCATACACGTGCATGTGGATGTGCCCACATACACGCGTGCACATGGATACACACATGCACGTGGATATGCACGCAGACACACATGCACCTCAAATTCATACAAGGGTAGATGAGACAGGACCTAGATGAAGGGAGGTCAAAGAGGGGAAAATCTAGAACATTCATCTCCAGTTCCTTACCATTTATTGTATAAACATGCTGCCCACCTTATAAAACCATCACTGGATCTCACGTGGTCCATGTTTCCTGACTTCAGGCTGTGATCTAAAACATGTTTCTCAAGCCTTGAAGTTTATGTAGGCGCGGGGCTAAGGATTCATGTTTTGCAAAGAGATGAAGTACACTTTCAGCCCCTTTCTGCTGAGACTTTGAGTGTCAGGAAACACAGGGAGGAGGGACCCAGAGGGAGTGAAGAGAGAGGAAACTGGCCTTTGAACCCACTAGTTCAGGAGACCCTGAAACTCACAGGGCACCATGAATATTCCGAAGCACAGACAACTCAGGAACAGAAAGGGCCAAGTTATTGCTTCATAGGTGTCTCTTCTTTAAAGACTTGTTTGTTTATTAAAATTTCCATTTCCCTCCTGAAAAGGAAACCTTGTTACATTTCGACTTCCCTTGGAAGCCTCCATCAGCTTGTCCTGCTGGCCCATGATGCATTTGGAATGCCCCAGTGCTCCCAGTGTGACTGCTGTAACAACTGTAGGGCATGAATCAGGAGGTTTCCTACCTCAGGTTGACCATCACTCAGGTCAAGGGAAAATGCCTCCAAGTGGCCGTGATAGGATTACGCAGGGGTTGCCTAGCTCACTGGACTTCGGGCTCCAAGCCTCCAGACCAGGTTACCTACATTTTGATACAACCACCCATCACCACCTGCTACACCCAATAGCAGTAATACTTTCACAGCACTCCTCCCTATGTGCCAGCCACCCTTCTAATTAATCCTCACAGCAATCCTCCGAGTTGAATATAATTCCCATTGTACAGATGAGGAAACTGAGGCTCAGAGAGGTCAATAACTTGTCCAAAACCAGAGTGCTGGAGAGTGATAGAGCCAGGCATGAACTGGGGTAGTCTGCTTCTCTCCAGACTACCCTGCACTGCCTTTCAGTTGCAAGATATTCTGACTCTACCCTCAGGAAGAAGTATGATCTCATGTTGAGTCTCCTCAGATACCACATGGCTGGACAGATAGCAGTCATAATGCTCACCCTTCATTTTTCCATTTCCTATGTTTTCTAAGCAGAGGAGTATTAGAAGGTATTGGGAGGAGACACTTAGGGAGTTGGGGTTTAGGGGTGTTGGGAGCATTGGAAAGAGAGCTGACAATTGGAGCAATGCCATCAGAGCCTGTGATTCTCTCCCCCTTCCTGAAGGGTACAGACTAGATCCCAGAGGGTGAAAGAGGCTGCTCCAGGTCACAGGGCGGGTAAGCTTCAGGGTCATCCCTCACCCCAGCCCGACCTGACTGTACCCCCAAGTGTTTCACCACCAGGGCGTACTGCCTGGGTTTCCCTAGCAATTAGGGAAACTGGTGTTTGGATTTCATACACGCCTCTAGGAGAGAAGGAGGCATCACGGTTTCATAGACCTTTCCCCCAAAGGGACTTTAAGACTTCCACAAGCCTCCACCCGCAAAGTCAGGGGCCCAGTGTTGTTCCAGGCACGGTGGGTTGGTGGGTCGGAAACACGAAATGTTACCCCGTGTCTCAGATGTCAAAACCTATTTACTGAAGTGCTTTCTTTTTCCTTTTTCTAGAACAGAGCCCAGCTAAAAGCCCTTTTCACCATAACAACAGAAGAAAAGATAACGGTAGGAGAAAATCTTTGACCTGGACACTGCTTTATGCCCCCAGTGTGTCTTTTTATGTCTTTGGTGTGTGGTCTCTTGCTGTCCTCAGAGCCAAGGGTAGGAGCCTACCGCTGGCCTTAGCCTCCCAGACACGAGCCAAGGCTGGGGGCTCTGTGCAGTCTGGGATCCCCCAGTGTGGGCTGAGGCTGTCTGGCTAGTTTCCTGGATGACCCTTTCATCTGGGCAAGACGGGTTGGTCACTGCCTGGACAGGCTGGGGCCTCACCCACCCATCAGCCGGCTGGTACCCGCCCTGCAGTGTTCACCCCACGGCTAGTGGGTGGTCATGTTTTGTCTTCCCAGAGCTGCCCAGGGCCCTGCAGGCCTGCTTCTGCTGTTCACCATTAACATTTCTCCATTTTTGTTCATTATTCAGTCACCCACAACTCATGCATTCACTCATTCACATGTTCATCAAGTGTTTATTCACTATATAACCACGCTCCACATTTCTTAAGCACCTACTAGGTGCCAGGCATCCTAAGCGTCTTCATTTGCTGAATTGTGACATCTTCACCATAATCTGAGGGGATCGATTGTATTTTAAATCACCTCCATTTCATAGATGGAGAAACTGAGGCACACTTAGGTCAAGTCATTTGCCCAACGTCACATGGCTAGGGTATCAGTATTCTCAAGACCACTCCCAGGTGCAGTGATTCCCTAGGGGGCTCACAAGACCGCACACATAGTCTTACTCAGGCTGCTTTATGACAGAGAAAGGATGCAAAGCAGAATCAGCAAAGGGAACAGGGACTCAGGGCGAGGTCTGGAGGACATCAGGTGCAGGCTTCCAGGGTCCTCTCCCAGTGGGGACCTGTAGGACATGCTTAATTCCTCTGACATCAGGTTGTGACAGCACATGTGAAGTGCTGTCTACCAGGGAAGCTCATTAGAGACCCAGTGCCAGGGTTTGTACTGGGAGCTGGGCACGGGGCACCCTCTGCCTGGTACCTCCCAGGAGGACAGCATGTATTCAGTGTACACCACATCCTTTGCCCAACAGTTTAGGCCCTGTGAGCCCCTCTTATCAGGAGATGATGGGAACCCTCTGAAACCTGAGTTCCCAGACACCAGCCAAGGCCCAGCACCTTGAGCAGGCCTCCCAGAGGATGGAAGTCTCAGACCTGCTGTGTGAACGCCATTCTGCACAGGTAGTGTTAGAATAAGGTATGAACCCAGGCCCTTTGGCTCCAGAGCCCTGCTGCTGGGCAGTGGGCCACACTGCCTCCTAGTGAGCCTAGTGGCTGCACAGATGAGGCCGGCACAAAACCCGAGTCAGGCACACAGGTGCAGACAGTTCTCCGGGCGGCACCATGTCTGATTCCTTCCTGCATCCCGCACGGTGCCTTACGTTGTGGGTGGCACTCAACAGGTAAATATCCCGTGACTGGGCTGATTGTTGTCAATGCTGCGTGATTGCAATAAAGGTCAGAGAACATTCATTTAATCAGTATTTATGAGCCCTTTCTCCGTGGCCCAGACCTCCTCACATAGATGGAGACGAGCCATACCCAGGTCTTCAGGGCTGTCTCCAGCTCATTGCCTTCAGGAGAAACAGGCATAGGTGGCCCCCCTGGGCTGCAGACCCATGGGTGCAAGGCTTGGCAGTGGAGCAATGGGTTGGATTTCAGCCCCACTGGCCCCTGGGCCAGGTGACCTCTGCCTGTGGACCATGTTCAAGGAGGTCATTATCGACTGGGGAGATGAGACATATGCAGGTGATGGCCCTAGAGTGTTGTGGAAACAACGGGCCCTTGCACCAGAGGCCGGGACTTGCATCCCTGTTTTTCCACAGATTGTATGTGACCTTGGGCACATTACTTACCTCCCTGGACCTCAGTATCCTGGCTGTAAAATGAGAATAATAATAGTACCCGCTTCATAGGGTGGTCGTCAAAGTAAACGGATTGATGCAGGCAAAGCACTCGGCACAGTGCCTTGCATCCTGTAAGCGCTCAATAAACATCATCAGTATTATTACACATGGAAATAACGCTGCTGTGCAAGTGTTCTGTGTTAATTGCGAAAAGAATGTTATGTATCAGGGTCTCAAGCTTAAATTCCCACGAGGGCCGCACTGGTGCTGTAAGTGTGTGAGTCAGGCCCACGCAAGATTCTAGGGCGCAGAGGAGTTTGAGGCAGCCTGGAGATTCCGATCGACCATCACCCACCATCCCTTCCCCACACTGAGACATTAAACAAGGGCAAAAAGCCAAACAAACCATGTACATCAGCTGTGACTGAACTTGTGAGGTTGTGACCCAACGTACAGATCATAGGTGCTGGGGGTACTGACAAGGGAGAAAGTGTGGGCTGGGCGGGCTGGGTGGATGGCAGGCCTCTTGGAGGAGGTAAGAATTCACTTGGATCTTGAAGGAGTTAATTAAGGGTGGAGGAGAGGTTTCTAAAATATGTATCTGAAGATCTGACGTCAAGGTTAAGCCTGTTTGACTGTCGGTTGGACGTGAACCAAGGTTTACTGGGCTCGAGCACAGTGTCTGGCACCTTTTAGGTGTACGTAAGGAGGAGGCCCAGTCCTTGCCAGCTGCAGCGTGTGTTCTAGCACGGTTGACTTGGGCACCTGCAGAGATAACGTCGTTGTACTAGGAAAGTGTGACAGTGATGAATAGGAGGAACTCAGCAGTGAGGTATAAGCTCCTCTGACATTTTTATCAAGCAGTTAAAAAATACAAAGCAAAGACATTGAGTAACCCATTGTGCAAATTGGGAACTGCAACACCTGGAAGAGACGCCATCACCTCCTTAATTTCTTATTAATTTCCTGAGGGTGAAACTGATAGATGTCAACTAAGACCCCAAGAAGTCTTCTTACCCTTTCTGCCTCCTGGATGAATAGAGAGGAAAAGAATCCCTCCACCCTGTGCCGGACATTGAGTGCAGGTGTTCTTTTTTTAAAAAATTTTATTGAAGTAGAGTTGATTTACAATGTTGTGTTAATTTCTGCTGTACAGCGGAGTAACTCAGTTATACATATACATGTATATATACTTTTTCGTGTTCTTTTCCATTGTAGTTTATCACAGAATATTGAGTATAGTTTCCAGTGCTCTACAGTAGGACCTCGTTTATCCTATGGATAGTAGTTGAGTGGAGGTGTTCTGATTGAGCTGGACTTCACTCCAGCTTCTTGTAATTTGGGGGACAACTGACAGGATCTTTTGGAAGAAAAATGAAGATGAATTCCCTCAACAGATTTAAATCTAAATGGATAAAACAATTTTTAAAGCGTGAATATCGGTTAATATGCTGTGAAAAAAACCATGGGGCAAAACCATGGGCCTGAGTACACAAAATAGTTGAAAACTTTACATTTGAAAACAGTATTAAAAAAGGTAAGGGGTAAACTTGGGAAAATATTTGTAGCATACATTAAAAAGGATTAACATCTTTATAATATATTATAAAGAGCTCCTATTCATTAATAAGATAAAGAATGCCTCAGTAGATAGCTATGTACGATATGAGAATTTCTCAAACACAAAGATTTACAGTGTGTGCCCTTGAGCACAGTGGAGGGAACGTGTAACTCCACTGGCAAAATCATTTGGCTTTGGGTTTAACTCAGAGGGCTGGAAGCATGCAGTCGCATATCATCATGTCTGCCTTCTCTGGATCACTTCTTTGGATGACTTACCAGCCTTCTGCCTGTTCAGTCCTGCCCCCCTCCAGCCCATCATCCTGAAACACAAGCCTGCTCACTTTCTATTCTGGAGGGGCTCCCCGTTGCCTGCTGGATAAAGCCCAGTTCCCTTAAGTTAGGATTCAGGCTCCATCAGGAAAGGTGACCTCTGCTACCTCCCTGTGCCGTGGGGTTCCTGTGTTTTCCCCATCGCTCCAGTTTTACACATGCTGATCCTTTCCTTCCTGTCCTCTGGCAGCTCGTAAACATCCTGCAGGACCCTGACCAACTTTCTCCACCTCTGTGATTCCTTCACATCCCCCAAGCAGGCTGGTGGCACCCCTTGCTGGGATCTAGTGGCATTGGGACATCTGATAAACCTTGTCACTCTGTGACATTGAGATTATTCCCCTGGTTGGCACTTAATACATTTTTGTTGACATCAGAATAGAATTTTTGCCCAGGGGGAGACTTTAAAGATTATCTAGTTTTACTTCCTCATTTAAGAGTGAAAAAAACTCAGGTCCTGAGAGGCTTTGGGAACTGGCCAAGGTCCTGAAGTTTGATACAACATTGAGGATTGGAACCATGCTGTGCAGCTTCTTCTGGAGTCCAAGCCTTATTCACTGGATTCTAACTTACAGACCTCTGTTAGTGAGTGTGATCGTCTCTGTTTATGGTTACCTTCAAACTCTTGCTCTTGCCAGAGTTATCAGAGTCTCTGCCCTCAGAGCTGCCCCTCAAGGGCTGTGGGACAAGGGTCAGCAAGTCACTGACTCCTCTGCTTCTTCAAGCAGTTGAAGGATTTCAACTAAATTACTCCTAAAATGTCTTTCAGAGAAATCATTCTGTATGCTCTCCCCTTCAAACTTTTCCTGGTTTGGGGAGGGGGTGGGATTTAATATATGTCTATTATGGACACTTTAAACAAAAAACCCTTCCACACACACAGACACACACACACACACACACACACACACACACACACACACACACGGACACAAGGAGAAAGTTAGAAGAATAAGATAACATTTCTTCATATCCCCGCCACCAGAGATAACCATTGCTAGCATGGTAGTTTCTTGCCTTCTGCAAGTCTATAAATATATTTATTACATAATTGAAGTCAAATTGTATAAACAATTTTTCCTCATGCTCTTGTAACTTGTTATCGGATTTTAAGCATTTAAAGCATTTCTTTTGAAAATCTTTTTTTGTCTGGCATTGCTCTTCATAAATGCAGTGGTGGAACGCATCAAAGGAATCTGCTACCAGCTGATATGTGATTAAAGTGGTGGTAATAACGGATTCTTTTCCAG